ACAGCACTGCATGTACAGTTTTCCCTGAGGAGATTGTCCTATGTTCACATTACTTTTGTTTTTTTCTTTGTGCTATGCAGTACTGTCTTTTCCTTTCTGTATTGCAGTAACATGGTCTGTCAACAAATTACAGTACAAACAGTAAAAGCTCCCACATTCACTAAGGTGTAACTTCCAATTTACAATAATTGTCTTCAAAACTTTAGCCATAGTTTACATCAGAACATCCTTCCAGAGTACACTGTTATATTGACAACATGGCTAAGCAATTTGATTGTCTTATCCGTACACAATGACACAAGGACTTGTCATTCTGATGGCACTGACATGTTCATTGACACAAATATTTACTTTTGAGAGATGAACTAAGGATTTTGAGCAAGAGACTGTCTTTTGCAGGTAATCCATGGTGCTTTGCTTTTTGTACGAATTGTTTTGAGAAATGCACTTACTGTTTTGCAAATGTCGAGGATGATTCGAGAAATGTTGTGAGGATTTATTTTCCTTTGACTGAGTGTGTAAAGCCATAGTCTTTTTGCCCATTAACATTTACATGAAATTATGATAACAACTTTTCAATACAAGGAAGAAATTGCTTTACAACAAACGCAATCAGACCAAAAAATATATTAATTCTTATTATAAAGATACAGATAATAAAAGAAATAGACATAACATAATAAAAGCTTTTTTAATAAAGATGTGTCTTGAGAAGTGTGAGCCTGATCAACACAGGCTTCATGAGTTGATTTCGTCATTTACGCCCAAAGAGGTTAAACTATGCACAAAAGCATAAGTAAATACATAACATGCAGGAAAACAAACAGAATGTTGCGCAGCATATTTTAGATTTTCTCATTTACCAACCTGCTAACAATCCCATGACCCTTTCAGTAAATGTCACAACCTCTGTCAAGGTCCAGACCTCTAAGTTACAACCACTTCCTTATGAAGAGTAGGCAGGAATGCAGTATCATTTAATTCACATTCTGCAGTGATAATATTCATGTAAATTCATTTAAGAATAGAGGAATTTTAGTATTTAAAGGAAATATATTATTGCAGTTAAAATGCAGCCTTGTTTCAAACAAACATTTTATAGTTTCTGAGAATAAAACCTCTCAGTCACTTTGTGTACATTAGGGGTTATTATATAATGGTGGTATATAACGGCCATAAGAAGGAGGTTAATGCCAGTTGGCAAGAGTTGACTCTGCTGAAGTGTCCTTGGGCAATTTACTGATTCCCCGCAGATTAATTAGGTGTCGTATATATCTTTATGTGCTGTGACTCAGTGTGTGAGCCGGTCATGTCACAGCTTCTCCACATCATGGCTGAATTCTGCTGTTATTTTCAGAAATTGCACAAAATGGATTTTTAACTGAAGTGAATTGTAATTGTGTGTCCACAGCTGAACATGCAGGCCTATATGGGTTGAACTAAATTACAGGAGCGCCTAACAATAGCTCATAACAACAAGTTACATGAGTTACCAAAGATGGCAACTCTGATATTCTCAACATGAGCTTCACAAACAAAGTATTTGTGGCAAGGCTGTCAGAAACATGCACACCAGTTATCCCGGTTTCAGAAACCTGGATATGTATTTCCTGTGCTGCTCTGATAGAGGATACATTTGGAATTCAAACACCTTAACTAGGATTCTGAACCATCTGTTTTTCTGTGTTTTTAATGTAAATTAAAATCATCATATATAAATAAAATTGAGTAATCTTGTTCTTATTATCATTATCTCACAGTGGCAGAGATGGTGAGAAATCTAGACAAACCTGCAGATGCATGATCAGAAACCTGGATTCTGTAACATGAGTATGAATAATGCAGATTTGTCATGTTTCATGTAAACACCTTATCCAGAATAAAATCCAAAACACCCTGTGTAAGAACTGTAAAACAAATCCACATGTAGCACACGCTGTTACTGTTCCTGTGTGTTACCAGGTGTACTTCTCAGATACAGTGAATAGGGAATAAAGTGATCAAACACAAAGCTATGGGACACTGATGGAAAGCAGCATGCACTCAGCTTAAAAAAAGATATATTTAGAGGTAATAACCCAATGAGCTGCATTATTGACTATTTTTGGGATGTGACAAGATGTACTCCTAAAAATAATAGGGTGACAAATTATTAGCGCAGATCGTCTGTGGAAGTGTGGACAACAACTCTATTTCTCTCTCCCACACACACACTGATGGGAGCAGATGCAGCAGTCTCACGGAGCCACACACACGGTTCGTGATCCCCAGAGGTTATCTCGAACTGTGAATCTGATGCAATAGTTAGTAACATCCCTGCAGACCGCCTCAGCCTGTACCTCCAGGATTCATCTGCATGGGCCACATGAAGCCGACAGAGGATAGATCAAACCCCCAGCAGCTAATCACCTGTAGCTACGGGGAAACGGTCGTTTCTTCAGTGTGATGTTTATGCACATACGCATTTATTCTTAGCACTGTAAGAGATCTGTCAATCCAGGGACTGGAGGCTGAAAGGAACCATGATTATAAGAGCCATTCAGTAGAAACTACAGAGAGATGAAAGTGCCTTTGAGAACTTTCTGCATCAAGTCCAGTTTTTTTTTCATTTTCCTGAAACTTCTCACTTCTGCTTTCGACAAGATCAGCCGCGACCCTTTATAGAGCATGTGGTGAGGCTGTCGAATACAGAAATAGCCTCCATGGTCAGTGTTCATGTGTGAGAGCGATTGTTCACATTGTGTACCTTAATAGCTACATTCTTATCTGCATCTCAACAGAATGAGGGTTGCAGCTTCATCGCCTCACCGATCCCCACAACCTCCAACAGAACAATAAGGCCTCAGTAGCACCAGTCACCCACTTTCAGTATGTCAGGGTGTTTGCAGTCCGGCAGTGGTAACCAAAAATAATTTATAACTACGATATATATTGAATATTAAAAATCTTAAATCAGGCGTATAGTTAGTTATACTTGACAATTATTAAACATACAGTATTATTACATGGTCGCAATAGGTGTTGGTTTCAGACCTTGTAAAGTAAGTGGATGCAATGAAAAAAAAAGTGCATCCCTGGTATGTTTGGCAACAGTCGGACAGTCTGAGGAGTTGCAGGGAGAATAAAGGGCTATTCTACAATGAATAGAGGTTAGCTGAGGTGGTTACTGCTGCTGCAAATTCCTGAAAGGTTTGCTGTAATGTATGCAACAGCCATGGTCTCATTTTGCACAGGAACCACTGGAGCCTTTGTAGACAAGGAGTCCCATTTGATAAAAAATATATTATATTATTTAATGCATCGTCCTTTATCTGCTTTTGCATATGAAACGCGAGGACAGTCCCACAGTTAAAGTAATCCTTTAATCACTTCATGATGAATTAGGCTAATCTAATAAAACTGCAGAGGTATCGTCTCATTAGGATATTAAAATGCATGTTTCTATTCTCTCTTCTTCTGATTTATTTTGGAACTATAGCAATTTTTTGGTGTAACTTTCACATTATTAATATAAACACAATGCACTGTTTAAGCATGTTTCATGAGGTGACGATTGGAAGATATACAAAGTTTCGAAGCCCTTTGTTCAGCGCCAGTGTTTTGTGTTCGTTCAGTGAGCTCTGTCTGCATGTGGCAGCAGCACGTCCACGCATTGTTCCTGAGGATCCAGGAGAAAAAGTCCATTGTTGTTGGGAACTTTTCAATCTGGGGATTTAAAGCACATCACATGCTCAGACGGGGCAGCGGGGCGCGCAACAGGCGAACCCACCGCAAACAGTGGCTGTTTGGGAAGGAAACCATTCAACCTGGAGGGACACACGACTACTTTTAATACTGTCTGCGGTGCCAGCGCACTTTATGGGAGTGTAGGATCGCTGGGAAGTTTGTTTTCGAAGCGGATGCAAAGTTTTTACGCGCTGGAAATACAAGCTGGACCACGATGACGCACAAGTACAGCCAGCGGTCCCTCATCGTCCTGTCTCTGCTGGGGATTTTATCCGCCATCATGTCTGTTCTCTCGGTCATTTTGATTTTCCAGCTCCAGTCGCAGCAGGCGTCGGTGAAGGAGTCTCCCTCCTCCACCTCGGCGGTCATCCCGGCCCATGTGTGGGCTGTGCTGCTGCCGGTGTCCACGGTGCTGTCCGCCCTGTCCCTCACCCTGAACCTCAGCTCCGTGTCGGTGTGTCTCCTCCACAGCTACTTCTCCACAGAGGTCTGCAGAGGAGAGCAGGACACCGACAGGTATTCACCTCCAACACCTGACGGACGGACTGCACCTGCAGCAGCGGCCATTATACTTCACTTATTCTTATTATTCATAATTAAACAGATAGTTCCGGTCACTTCTGATGGGCTGCGTCACGTTTAAAGCCTTTAACACACCTGTGACCTCACCACACTTATCCAGTATCAATACGCACAGGAGAATCACCTTTCATTTTTCTGTACTTAAAATAACATCAATTTATATTTAATAATAATATTAATAATAATAATAATAGTAATTAAAAGTAAGTAATATTTAGTTAGATTAATTGTATTGGGTCTGGTTCGCTTAGCTTATGGTGGCTAAGGTGAGCAAGCTCTGGACAGACATTTTTCTCTTTTCCTTGGAAAAACTTTATTGAACACAATCTAAAAGAAAACATGACTAGGAAAGAAAACAGCAATGAACATGATTCAGTCCACAATCATAAAATAAATAAATAAATGAGGAACCCACTGACAAAACTGAACAGAAGAACTTTGGATCGACAGCCAGTTGCTACTCTTTAGCCAAAAGTTACATAACTTCACTTTAACAACTACCTTTTACATGCCTTGAACAGAAACCAATATACAATCTAATGTTCCTGTAATAGATATGGTGCAAATTAAAATACTTAAAAAGTCGTAGGAACCATTAATTCAACTTTATCACTAATTGTGAGGCTGTAGCTTGAGGTGAATGGGTTTGCTTTAAACCTCCCCCTTCCAACAAACATTTAATTTACGTTCAATATAGAGCATATCAAAACAATAATTTATCTTTTATGAGTTTGTAATTTCTAGTCATTGGAAGTGTACACTGTTGCTTTTAGTTGAAATCAGCATTTAATCTGTTTAGTAGGTTTCTCCTCCTTTAATTGTTCCCCTGTAAACCACAGCCTTATCTGAGTTCAACTCTATTAAGTTTCATTAAAAGAAAACACGGTCTCAGAAGCATAAAAGCCCTCATGTGTCAGAGTGCAGAGGCCCGCACTGCAATGTTGTTGGTCGACCCCCACCTCACAACCCCCATGAATCCCATCCAAACAATGGCCTTCCTCTCATTATGCACCCAGTATACAGCCTCTCGCCGGTCCTTTCCCACGTCGGTATACAAATCCAACAGCATGGCCCTCGACCTCCCCACTGACAGAGGGGACATTCCAAGATAATGTGAATAGCAATGAGATACACAAATCATCTAGTAACATACCCAAATCATTAAGTAAATGTTTTATATGATGATATGATGACTTATTGGGGGAGAAGTAAAAAGAAACCAGAGTAGTTTGATTATATGGCAAGGAAGGTGCAAAATCCCCAACAAAATATTTTGCAGAAAGTTTTCAGTATGTATTAATTCTAAAAATTAAAATGTTTAGTAGAAAGAAACTGTATCTGAAGCATGACATCAAATATAGGACATTTCTTTCAACAGAGCAGACTGGTTCCTCTTGGATAGCAGAGCTGTTCGACATGTAGCTATTGGACTCTTCTGCCTGGGGGTCTCTGTCTACTTAGCAGGTAAGAACAAAACAGTGAATAATGTGATTCTCATGTTTTTAAGTCTAAATTCACTCTTGAAGAACAAGTTGCACAATGTGACATGAAGATATACTTAGATACTGAAACACAAGTAAGAGCTGGGAACCTGCTGTTACCTTCTAGCACACTTCTGTGTATTTTCAATGTGAATGTGTATTAAGCTTTACATGCAGGCTACTTATAGTGTGTAGCTATCAACAACAAACTAAAAAAAAAACTGAAAACTAGCATCCAAAACACTAGCAGTACTGTTGATTTTCAACAGCAGAGGCAAAAACAGCTCTGCTGCTTTCTCTCTGGTCCATTCAGCCAGTCCAGGGAGAACAATGCATTCTTTGAGCAGCGTCCATGACTTAAGTGTTTTTAATGCTGAACCTGGCAGCGCTGTGGTGCTCTGTTCCACTCAGCGGCTTGTACTATGGGGCCAGTGGAGGCAGTCGCTCCATTGTGATGAGGAGGTGTCGTCCTTATGACCCCACTTTAGCCACAATCATGAGGTACCAGTGCAAGGGACTGGAGAAAGCAAAACTGCCTGCTCAGGAAGTCACGTCACATCCCAGAGTTGTGCTTTTCTCCACCTTCCTTAGGCACGCCAGAGTCAATGGTCCTTTTCCTGCCAAAAACATAACAACTCAGATGAGAACACTTGGCCTTTTTAATGACATTTATACAAAATTAAACACATTTTAGTGATTCCAAACTCCAAAAAATGTGCCTAATAAGCCTTGAGCAGGAAGCTGGGGTTTAGTTAGCAAATAACTTTCACAATCTGCTTTGAGAATAGTGTATAGCTGATTACAGATTAACACTGAGCAAGGTATTTAGTATTTCTGTGAACATAAATTCTCAGATTTTCTCCTTCTTTTCCTCTGCAGCAATGTCCATTTTCATGCTCCTGATATTTGAGGTGGAGACAGGCATTGCCAGTGCTTGTGTCCTCTCTTCAGGGATCCTAGTCCTGCTGGTCATTGTTATCCACTCTCTGGTCAAAGCTTCCCGAAGTTCTAAACGCTATCAAGGCGACCACCTCGACACCCTCTACCAGAACGACCATGGGAGCAGCAGCACGCCTGTATCTCGTCCCTGTGAGCTCAAAATTGGCGTGGACAAACCACGGATGCACCGCACCCAGTCTCACCTCCAACATCAGTTCTCCTACCCTCAATTGGGCAACCCGAGACAGCAAGAACAATACCACCAGCAGCAGTACTCCCCTGCTCAAGGCTCACAAGGACATGCTAGTGACAAAGATGGCTACAGCAGCAGTGGCAGTGGTCCCAGAATGCACAGGACCCTATCGACTGAATCTGGTTTACTGCAGGCCCAGGCAAAACCATGGAATGGGGTGAACAACGAGATGAGGAGCGTCCTTGCACGCAAGTCTGGGATTTCTGCAAAAGACTCTACCCTTGTTTGACAGTAAGAAAGCTCACCCTCTGATTAAACCATACGGTTTAAGACACTGATGACTTTCATGTACATTTTTTCAAAAGGAGTGTGAACACATGAGTCATCTCAAACAGACGAAGAACTGTCAATCTGTATTATCTCACACATGTTTATTCTGATTGATTACAGACAACATGGGTCTGAGATTGAAAAAAATCCAGCTTCACTTTTATCTACTGATTTCTCATGCTGGTATTATAATTTGCTGAAAAACATATGGAGCATATTGAAAATATTTTGTATAATTTGAAGTATTTTGTATCCTTGAACTTCATTTAAATTCATTGTGATAATGTAAATACTTTATTTCACTGTATATTGTAGCTTTTGCCAAATATCTGTCCACAATGTGCAGATGTGTTTTGTTTTTGTCTTAAATCTAATATGTAAAATATAATTCAATTTCAAAGTAGAATGATTTTGGACATTTAAATAGGACATTAAAACAATGTTCACAAAATCTGGAAAGGTCTTTTTACTGCATGTTTCACTTTCTGGCTGACAAAATGTCTCACGTTGAAATATAGACCCAAGTTTGATCTTGTCATGTCTGGAGGAACTACTAACCTTGGATACTTCTGTTCAGAGGTCATGAGGAAGTGGGTGGGGCATGTAGAGCAGAGACAAGGGGACTGGGAGGGGGGGTCACATCATGATAGCTGCATGCAAGTGTCATTGGGGGGAAAAAGGAACAAATACAACAGAAAATATGAAGCTCCCATTAACTACAAATAGTTCAGAATAGACCTGAAGAATATTTTGCAGCTATTGGGGGAATGCAAAAAAAGTCATAATAGCAGATGCCCCAAAATATCAACAAAAACAAATTATTATAAAGATTGATTAGATAAAACAAATAGAAAAAAGGTTATGCATGAACAAAGCTATGATGTGGAATAAAGAATGAATACAAAATCCAGAGACTGAGCAACTTAAAATGTGACAGTGCATGGATCCACAAGTAGACATTTTTGTAGGGGTGGATGATCCGGCAAAAAGTTAAATACAAGTCTGTGATTTTTTAATACATTGATGTATTAAAAAATATGGTGTTTTGTAGAGATATGTATGATTACTGCTGTGATATATCATCAAGGTTTCAAATATTCACACACATTGACACCTCTACACTCTGGACACCACTGCGTCTGTGTTTTCTCAATGTTCACTGCTGCCTCCTACCTGCGTCCTTGAGAGTTGCTTATCTGTTCCTTTAGGCTGATGGCTTGACGGAGGAGGCTATCAATGTTTTTGAAATACATGCTGCTGTTGGTCATGCTCTTCACGGCACTGAAGAAAACAGCAGATCAAGTTTAGTGTAAACGGTTTTAGGAGTGGGCCACTGGGACTTTGGAAATATGTAGTTCTGTGGATCTCACCTGCACGCGTACTCCACAGTGTAGATGGCTCCTTGACTCTGCTCCTCCCAGCTCTGCATATCTGTCTGTGTGGGAAGGGACACAAAGTAAAAGTTAAAGAAATCCAACAAAGGTGAGATGAGAGTCCTGTCATACTGTGAGTTGTGGCCTTTGGGATTGATTCACATGACCTAGATATATATTCAAGTGGCCAATGTCCACAAACAATGACTGAGAGCCTCTGACAGCATACACGACGAGCAAAAACATCATGACTACTCAGATGAAGCAAGTTAACATTGATTATCTCATAACAGCCGTGTATTACAATGTCTGAGATATATTTTAAACAGTCAGGAAACAGTCAGTTCTCATAGACAAAGACATTTAAAGAGCTGAGTGACTTTGCTGAAACATTTAGGCCAGATGAAGCACTGTGTACAAGCAACGTGCACGGGATGCTCTCATTTAACAGAGATGAACACACACCGACAGTGGTCTGAGAAGGGCCAAACCATAAAAGGTATCCTGTCTGGTCCAGAGCAACAGACAAGCTAATGTGCTACAAGTTGTAGAAATCTTTCATCATGGTTATGAGAGGTATGTGTCAGAGCACAGTGCTTGAACCCCTGATGCGTAAACGCAGACTGGTCTGAGTGCTCATGCTGGTCATAATTGTTTCTGATGATTAGTGTATATTTCATATATAGTTTGTAGCCTGGTATGAAAGGTGAACACAAGGTAAATTGTGCATCTGTCTGCAGAAAGTCTTACAAAGTACTATTCTCAGCTTTTTACTCACTGTAAACATTAAAGCAAAAACACACAAGTATACGGCTGCCAGGCTGAAAGTTACGAGACGACAATTTCAGCATCGTTGAATAATACACACACAGTAAGAAAAGCACTGATGTAAATAATAAAATGAATAATTGATGAACTCCATTGAGTTGCTTCAGTTTTAGGGTCCTGGTGTTGTACATTCTGACTCAGTTTCACACTAATGTCAAGACTTAACTGGCCCAGAGCCAAGATTAATGTAAAAGGTAAAACCTTTGCTTTACTTCTGCGAGGAGTCAAAATATCTCGTGAAAATATCAGTGACAACAAAAGCATTTTATTTATTTAAATATAATAATTCCTGCAAAATTAAAGGTTCAGTGTGTAGAATCGTATGACACCCAGCAGTGCAGTTGTATGTTGCAGCTGAATACCCCTCACCTCACCCTCCCCTACTAAACATGACAAAGAACCCGTAGCAGCTTCAGTTGTCATAAAAACTCAACTTGCAGGGTAAAGAAAACAACAATTTGTACAATTTAGACGAAACACACTGGTGAAATCACCACTCTGTATATTTTACATTCAGTTTCTGCCGATTGATCCCTTTCACCTAAATCTTACACGCTGGACCTTTAAGGGGGCTTCAGTCTGCAGCAGTGTGACTCAGTGTGGACGGAAACCTTCATCACCTTGTGCTGCACCAGTTCAGGCAGCGACCTCCTCACGTGCTCCTGCAGTCTGTACAGAGCCACCGACGGCTCGTTAGCCAGCACGTACATGCTCTCTGTGAACTTGTCCGTCACTGCAGAGTCAAGCACACACATAGAAAACACGACATTAGATGCAACAAGCGGCAACGTCAAGCATCGGGGGACAGGGATGAAGGCGCTGAGCTATACACAACATTAGCGGTGCAGCGTTAGCTTAGCGGCTAAGGCGAGCTAACGGCTACTTGCACAGCTGCGAGGTGGCGATGAGGTAGGTGACATGCTAATGCTAATTTACACAGCAGGTGTTTACCTCGTCTAACTTTCAGCTGCATCTCCTGGTCCTCCATGACGCACGGTGATCGTCCCAGTGAGAATCTGACAGCCAAGCCAGCGCGAGCGGTGTCAGCTGACTCCTGCTCCTTCCGTGTTTCTGTTGTCATGTGTCACACTCCAATGTTTCCGGACAGAAATATCGATTGTTACCGATGTTCCTTCACAGAAACACGGTGGCACACGGGGCCGATTCAAACGTGTTGTCTTCTCTTCTGTTGAATAATCGATCGAGTTAATTGAACAAATCAACTGACTGATCAGTAATGAACGGTGGAAACCCTTCGATGCCCAGCGGGACCCACCGCGCGATCTGAAATGATTTACTTTCAGTTTTCTCAAGAGGAAGTTAGCACAAATGAGAGCGTGATGCTGGAGGTGGTGAGAGAATGATAGATATGCTTCGTAAACACATTAGTTCCACTTGTCTTATGAACAGCACAGCATGTGTTCACCTATGTCTTGTTTCTATTGCAGTGATCATGGAGGCCAGAGGAGATGAGGAGGCTGATGCAAGTCCATGCGAGTCCACAGATGACAGGTCCTATGGTATATGTGCCCTTCGAGTTTTGTATTTAAATATAAAGTTATATGGATATAAGTTTCCTGTATTATCTTTTCCTGTGTGGCATGCAGCCACCTCTTATCTAAAATAATTTCACGGTGAATGTCTTGCTTCCTCTCACATGGCTGGTGTCTCCAGAGATCATGGATGTGGATGAAGACAGTTTGTTCAGACACTCCACCACTTTGACCAACAAACAGCGTGGGAATGAGGTCACCGTGCGTCCAGCGACATTAGACTGTAAGTACAGGCAACGCTGCTCTGATGGTAAAGGGCTGAGAAAACTTTTCATTGTCTTGACACACATGATTTATTTCCACCAGCTCTGTCCATACACCAGCTGGCAGCTCAAGGCGAGGTTTCACAAGTGGCTGCACACCTGAGTAAAGGTGAGGAGTCTGGATATCGTCCAACAAGCAGAACAACACCAGTATTAAACCGTATAAAATGAGTTCTGTTGGCCTGTGACCTTTTCTTTTTGCAGACATTTCACTGCTCAGCAGGCAGGACGAACGGGGCTTCACTCCTCTCATGTGGGCAGCAGCGTTTGGAGAGAAAGCAATGGTGGATTTTCTCTTGGAAAAGGTTAGAAGTAAGCAACTGATGACCAGTTAGAGATGCACATCATTAAGACTGAATGTTCCATCTCACTAATGTTTATTTTTTAAGGGTGCAGACCCCAAAACAATAGCAAGGGAGCGAGAGAGTGCCCTGACACTGGCCAGCTCTGGAGGTTACGTGGACATTGTCGAATCTCTTCTCAGACATGGAGTCGACATCGACACTTACGACTGGGTAAAGTCATGACTTTTTTGTCACATGACAAACAAAACCTGTAAGATTTATTTGTGAAAATTGAAATATAACTACAGTTTGATTTTATTTTTAATGACCACTCTTGTATTTTGATGTCAGAATGGGGGAACTCCTCTTCTTTATGCTGTACGAGGGAACCACATCAAATGTGTCGAGGTGCTCTTAGGTACGTTGCATGTCTACAAGTCATGATACTTTCGAGCAAATTCAATTTAAATTTCAGACCATATAAGATCATTTTAATACCAACTGAAATCTAATTTAGGACCCAATACACACAAAAAGTAAAAATATACTTGTAACAAGTAAAACCATTTCTGTCCATTAGATTCCACTGCCTTGAGCCTCATTGACCCAAGTTTGAAAGACTCAACACAAAGCACAGATTGCTTCTCGAGCTCTTCCTGGCACCAGCCTTGAAACCAGGACTAATTATTCTCTAAACATTTATTACTAAACTTTAATTTTCCCATGTTCATAAACTAGTGAGGAGGCTGATTAGAAAGGCATTAGCTTACTGCATCAGAAACAGATTAACAACACAGCGAAAACCAGAACTATAAAACTTCTTCAGTCTAGCAGAGTAGAGAAACTTTCGAGGTGACGTGTCTGATAATTAAGAGCCATCCAATCTGAATCTAAGACAATTGATTACTTCCTTGTAAATTTGAATCTAAATCATAAAACTTGGACTCATAGCCACCCAGAAAACAGTTTTAAGAAGTTTTTAAAAAATTGCTCCAACTCTACTCTCTTTCAGCAAAGGGAGCAGACATGACCATTGAGTCAGACTCTGGGTACAGCCCAATGGCCTTAGCTGTTGCGCTTGGACACAAAAAGAGTATGTATTGTCTCATACCTGACAAATACAAGAGATTACTGTAAACTGAAATTTTGCTGCACTGAATTAATATATAATATTCTTTGTTTCCTAGTTCAGAAAGTGTTGGAGGACCATATTCTGAAACTCTACAAGCCAACGTCAACACGACAGGAATTCAAATAAATGACACAGTTGATCTCAGATGACTTAGACCTCTGTTACAACTTATTGTAATAGATTACTTTATGCAGAGAAATTTACACTGCATTTTAATTTATAAAGCATTTATTCCATTTATGTGCATTACCCTGTATGCAGTGGTTGAGGGACAGCAAAAAAATGACTGTAAAAACGTTTTAATAAAAATGTATTTTTATACTGATTGTTCTGCTGGAATGTCGCTTCAGTAAAAAGGCACAATATTGAAACAGTTTACAAGTGAATACAAGTGCGTTTATGGTCACGACAGAGCCACTGAATCTGCAATTAAAACTCTGGTTCAGACTCCACACCAAGCCTCCTGTCTTTGAGTGATGAAGAGTGATTGCCTGACGGATTCCTGAAAGCGACCATTCCAAAAAAGGCCACATTCACATCAGCAGAGGAGGTGGCAGTGCAGATGACATGTTTCCCAAGTGCCAACACACCATCTTGTGTCCTGTACTTAACCCAGGGGTCATTTCCTCTCTCATGAGGGGGTTGAAAAATGGTCATGAGGCCTTTTCCCCCAGGATGTCCAAGGAGTAAACAATTATTCTCCCAAAAAAGTCGGCACTATTCTCAAACATTATTTTTACTTTGTCCAGTGCAGGAGCCTCCTGTATGGGAAAGCTGTGGGTGTGGAGTTAAGAACAAGATAAGTGTGGTAATAACGAAAAGCAGGTCACAGGAAAATATTATCAGATACTTAATATGAACCTAGAAAAGCAACAGGAACACGAGTGACAGGTACAGCTGGAGCTGCTGTAATAACCCTGGCCGAACACTGACTGAATTTTTACTGGACAAAAGCAAAATAGCATTTAGTATTATGTTAGTACGTGTTTAAAATAAAACCCAAACTCATTTATCTGTTACAACAGCTGTGTTTAGACTAAAATATGCTGTACGAAATACATCATACATCGTAAATTACAGATAATTCAATTGTAATATCTGACAAATAAACGAAACAGCTTTTCTAATTTCTCCTGCTATATGTGCCCAATAATCCCTAACCCCTCCCTGACAAATACTGTAATAAGATTGAAGGATATCTGAAGGGAGTTGTTGTCTTCTGGGTAAAACTGGCTGATCCCTGTGAAGTCTCCATCTTTTGGGCAACCTACAAAAAACACAATTGGAAAATCATTTAGCTTGTCTTAGAAAAACTGCAATAGCAAGCACTGAACTATAACACCGTTTGTGACAGGGTTTATCAAAACAAAATGTAGTCTGTGTTTTTTTACCTTCTAGTCTGCATGTTTTTGCTGAGAAGCCTCCCTGGAACTGGACCTTTAACTCAGATACCCGGACAGACTGCGGGAACTCCAGAGACACCCACTGACATTCACCCTGCAGAAGATATCATTCATATAATGACTCCCCAGACATGCACTGAACTCCACAGGTCTTCCATATTTTCTCCAGAGGAAGTGCATGTGTTAAAGCATATGTCCGAGTGAGACGCTCTGCAGTTTCTGCAGACTTTATATGCCTGGCTTTCTCTATATAATTCCATCAATAGTAATGTAACAAAAGTCCAATACAAATCAATATTGTGTCAGCACAGTGACGAGGTATAACACGTATTCTGATCTGGTTTGTACCTTCACTCAGGAGCAAAAGAAACAATAACGTGACATTTATCATCATCGATATTAACTGGAATGAACATTTTTTATCTTGACTATTGTGCAATTTAGTACAAAACAACAACAAGACTTATCAACTGCAAACACAGAAAGAACACAACAAGTAGTAAATAGTACATGCTGTCCAAAGGTATAAAGTACTGTGTGCAGTATATGCAGACATGGAAACTGCAGTACTTTTACCTGGTCTGAGTTCCAACATGTCTCTTCATTACTGTCAAACATGAACTTCTTTCCAAACTGCTTCACATCTCTGTTCAGCACAGAGCTCACCCTGAAGAGAGCACAACAACACAGCTGTTAGCTAACACATCTGCTAGCTTCCATCACACAGCACAACAACACGTGTACTACTTAATGTTGTAGTGACCTACGTGTTGCCATGACAGCTACGTCCCTAACGTACATGTCTTCATGAATAAACTGGATCTAATGACGGTGTACCTGCTCTGTGTTTCTGTGCATATCACCGATGAAGCCATGGCCACCTGTTTAAATCACACACTGCCGTCAAGCGACGCGGCCACGAGATGGGTTTTTACGACGGTGACGTGCACGTGCAGCTGTTTTATTTCCAGCCACAAGATGGAGGTCTCGTACCGTGGAAACAAGGGAAGAATGTCTCCTGTGAAGGTAAACGATTTATCATCTGCTGTCCATGGCTAGATGGAAGCATGTGTGTGTGTCATGTGTGTGTCATGTATGTGTCATGGCTGTAGAGAGGTGGTGCACGTGCTGACCTCCACGTGTGTGTGTGTGTGTGTGTGTGTGTGTGTGTGTGTGTG